CACCATCAGCTTTCTTCATCATATTTGCTTATGCACCCAACTTCATTTTTAGTACACTGTTTTTATATAATTTGCTTTTTAATAATCATGGTTTAATAGCTGCCCATATAATTCCTGAAGCTTTTAACAACAAGCTCTTGTAAGGTGGTTCAGGCCAGCTCCAGCACACCACTGCATAGAGAGAGATGCTTTTTAGTTTACTGCCACCTAAATCATATTCATATTATACCAGAATCCTCAAAATTTCAGAGCAAAGGGGAAAAAAAAAAACTTTTCTGAAAAAGTTTGGGGATCTTTCCCTTATGACCTTATATCACAGTCCACAAAATTTCTAAAGTGATGATGTCAAGCCCCTCCCTATCTGCCCCCACCACTCTGTGGACGATGGGGGGGGGTGGTGGTGCTGGACAATGCAGTCAGGTGCCAACCCTGAGAGGACAGGGGAAACGTGCTGACCTGGCAAATGGCCATTAAGAGTACACTCACCTGCCCCATGGGTTTTGGTCTCCAAGAATGTGCCTAACTTGTAGATTTGTTTCGTTGCTTTTCAGATAGCAACGAGGCTTCCTTTAAGCCGCACAGCAAAAATGTTGTCTGGGACTCTCTGAAAGCGATGAAGAAAGGCAAGCATATCCAACTGACTCCGGTCACTGGCTCCGAAGTGGCTTTGGTGAATGCCTACCTTGAGCGCAGACGAGCCAGGTGCCACCCTCAATTCGACCAGAGCGATCAGCTGCCTACGGGCAGTGACACTACTGACGGCGACAGTGAAGACACAAACTCAGGATCCTCCTCGTGGAAGGAGAGCGCACGTGAACACCAGCCATCGCCGGCCAGTGTCAAGAGAAGAACCGTGCAGAGGCGGAAGGGAAGTCATTCTACCCGGGAAAAGGCCTGCCTCCACTGTAAGGCCCTCAGAACCAATGAGTGGTTGGCACGCCATTTCCTGACCGATTCTTCAGCAACAACCCCCAAGAAGGGAGGGATGCCAGAGGAAACTTCCATCGTTGACATTAGCACCAAATTCAGTAAAATCTGAGTTTTACCAACTCTACTCGAAGCCAAATGAAAGAGATGAATAAAGTGCGAAACACCACCAGAAATCTAGGTGAGGAGGCGTTTACATTAAAATCTCTCCGCCAACAACAATCGCACTTGGAACCCAGGAGGTAAAAATGTCAGACAAATCTTGGGTCCCGAACAGGGCGGTGAATTTGTTTCGGGCATTATTGGAACATCAATGATCTTCATCAACTATGATCTTTACTCAAAAGAGGGCGCAGGGCAGATATTTTATGTCTTTTAATGTATGTATTTTGTTTACGTCTGCGATGCAAACAAGGGACCTCTTTGAAAATATATGATTTCTATTGAGAAGTGATTTAAATTTACTCATCTATTTCAATGATCTGACTCAAGGAGCCGATTGGGTGAAGTTAGTTGGAATAGATGCCAACAGATGGTGCAA